CAGGAGGCTGACTATGGAACTAAGTTTTCCTAAGGGGACGTTTTAGTTCGTTGACGGGGTTTGGAGATTTTGAAGGAACAATTGCTACAGAGTTGGCCACTTTTACCCACTCACCGTGGTCTCTTTCAGGGACACATGGGTAATTTCAGGTTCTTATCAGCACGTTCATCAGATTAATTATAAGGCAGCACTGCTAATTTATTATCAGTGTTCAAGTGCTGATTGCTTTCAGGGATCTGGTGCCTGCAGTGGTAGAGTACTTGCCATTTGGTGGCACTAATGCTTGCTTATTTTTTATTTTTTTTTAAGGGAGGACCCAAACTCACAGACAAACTCAGAGTCTTATGGAAGAGTGGGGGGATAGAAGGACTCAGAGGGGACAGTCTGCTCAAGGAGACCAACAACGCCAACAAATCTGGGCCCAAAGACCCAGTCTCTGGCCCCTGCCGAGACTGATGTACCAACCAAGGACCATGCATGAAGAGAACCTAGACACCCTGCTTAGATGTAGCCCATAGGCAGCTCAATCTCTATGTGGGTTCCCTGTAAACAGAGTCTGTCTGTGACAGGACTCTATTTCCTGTTCTTTGTTTACTTCCTCCTGATAGGGGGTCCTTACCTGGCCAAAGAGGAAGAGGATGCAGGCAATTCTAAAGAGACTTGATAGGCTAGGGTCACTCCCCTTTTTGAGGAATAGGGGAGGGGGATAGAGGGAAGAGGGAAGGATGGGGCCAAGAGGAAACAAGGGAGGGATCTAAATCGGAATGTAAATTGAATAAATTATTAAAAAACATTTTTAATTTTTTTTTTTTTAAGAAAGACTTAAGTCTAGGTCTCCACACCCAAGGCTTAGGGAACAAACATCATAAAAAAGAGAACCAAAATATTATAAAGCCAGAGGACCAGGATGTCTGCTGAAAGATTGTGTCATACACACACACACACACACACACACACACATTATACACATACATAAACAGGAAAGCTTCACCTTTGAACTTTCTGTGATGTGGTTGCCTGAATAACACATGAAAGAGTGACACCACTAGTTGCTATAACCATGCTGGAGGGAAGATATCACACAAAGGTCCACTTGTAGGTGAAGTGGACAGACAATTATTGACGGCTGTGGGAGACAGGCTATGTCTTCTCTAAGGATGAGTTCATGTAATTGGTGATCTAATACCAAGTGGTCAGCCTCAAAAAATATGCATTCGAGCAATACCAAGTAAATGGACTTAGTTAGTTCTATTTCTGTATCAGTTTTTGTGCATGTAAAACAGTAATATTAATGAAAATAAATTTCAGAGGAATTGGGGAATATTTGGGAGGGGTTGGAGGGAAGAGAGGGAATGGGGAAATTATGTCAATATCTTGCTCATACATAGAACCTTTTAAAAGGTTAAAAAAATAAAGAAAAATATTCTTACATATTTAAATGCACCAAGTCTATCTTCACTGTTTGTAGTCATAACACATCTTTCTCCGTCTTACACGGTTAAAAACTCATTTTCTGCCCTTACACCTAGTATTAACTCACATCTAGGGAGAAAACAAGATCCTATGTCATTCCTGCTAATTGGCAGAACTCTTTTCCCTTATGGTGTCTGGATTATGCATTGTCTTTTAGCTTACTTGTTCTAGAAAGGTACTTTCCTAGGTTACACTGTTTTTCTTCTCTTCTGAGTAGTTTAATTTTTCTAAATATTTGTTTTCTCATTTGAAAAGAGTCATTAAAGAGACATAACCAAAGAGACTAGTTCCTATAGGGGCTAAACAATTTCTGCCTAAAATATTACAATTACTATTTTAGCATTGGGGCTTTATTGTCTGTTTTTTGGCAGTGCAAAGTTCCTACTACCTTCTATGTATACTTCCATGCACATGTATCTATATATCTGAAATATAGTATGAGAGAATTTGCTAACTACTTTCCCTTTATTTTTACTAAATAAACTGAAAAACTCTACCAATAAGTCCTTGGTATTTCATATTTTCCCCTAAGTTCAAAATCAGTTAGTTCTAGTTCGTATATAAGCTCATTTAAAACATCTCATTTTATTTTTGTTCAACTCCTTTGTAGTCTCTTAAACTTGAGATAATCAGTTTTTGTAAGTAAAGTATCAGTAGCTATAATTTTAATTATTTCATATTTGGACTTTTAATTATAACTAAACTACTTTTTTATTTTAATTTTTTTACCCAAGAGCTTTGTTCACCTTCCCATCATGGGTTTAAAAATTCATCTGTCCACTCCCCCAACTTCAAATGTCTTGGTAGCTCTGTTAACACTAAGAACTTCATAGATATTGTCATATTAATTTATATGACAGCTTATTGGTTGCATATTATTCCATAGAAGAGACAGTAGATTATCTTGTGGCTTCTGTGTGCCTCACTCATGAGAGCTTTCATCAATTTGAAATGTTACACCTTAATTAGAGCTAGACAAACGACTAAGCTTAACATTGTAAGTCTCAGAGATGTTTCTAATTCATGCCCCAGACTTCTTTTCTCTGTCAAGGTACAGGATCGTTTTCATGATTGTTTCATTATTTACTGATCACATAACCTGACATTAAAAGCCTACTGAACTTGACAGGATGGCAGTCCAGCCACTAGCAACTTTTTAACCTTCTGTAGGTTCTTCACCCCTATGAATAGGAATTTACTTTGGCAGAGACTGGAAGTCACTAAGTCATACTTCTTTTTCCTATCCGGAATTACTGGTGTCTTCAGGACATAAAAGTCTTTGTTTTGGTTTTCTTTGTTTTGTTTTATTAATTAAGTTTAATTTGGAATTAAAGACAGGATGCCAGTCCAGCCACTAGCAACATCTAACCTTCTGTAGGTTCTTGCACCCCTGTGAATAGGAAGACTGGAAGTCACTAATTCATACTTCTTTTTCCTATCCAGAGTTACTGATGTCTTCAGGCTATAAAAGTGCTTGTCTTTGTTTCGTTTTGTTTTTTTATAAATTAAGTTTGATTTGGATTTCAAAATCTGTTCTTTTTGTTCACAGACTGAAAGCCAAGATCTATCCCTCCATTGTGCTTCTTTATCTCTTCTTTGAGTATTACTGAGTACCTCTTAAAAACACAATATGGGTATATGTGTGGAACTCATTGAAACACACATTTTTGTTCCTTAACCCATGGAGTCCCTTACGTGTATGGCCCTGGATTTATCCACTTGGTCATGAGTAATCTACCAGTGGCCACACTAATAAAGAAAAGTGACTCCTTGTATTAGTCAAGGAAACAGACACACACACACACACACATACACACACACAGAGAGAGAGAGAGAGATCTATATCTATATCTAATATCTATATCTGTATATCCTTGAGTAATACAAGGTATTAGTATGTTTGGCATATTAGTATATGTCAAAATCTCAAAGTAGGCTTTAAAACCAGGAAAGGAATAGATTTGCTGGGAGGAAAGAGCAAACAGGCAAAGAGAAGTTTCCTCCCATGTCTTTTATATAGGCAGAGGTGGATCTTCCCACCTCAAAAGAACTGGATTAGAGATGTGTCTTCCCCACTTTGAGATCTGGAATAGAAGTGTATCTTCCCAATTTAAATAAGCAAAAATTATTCACAGATATGACCTCAATTTTTGTGTTTTAGCTAATTCCAGATATAATCAAGTTGACAACCAAGAATAGTTATCACACTTTTCCCCCAGGCAGCCATCGACTGCAAAGCTCCTCATCCAAATTTGGGCTCCTCAGGAGACCCTCCCAACTCCATGTTGGAAGTTTTAATTGCCTAATCTTGTGTTTTAATCTTGTGTAGGATTTTGTATAGATAACCACAGTTGCTGTGAGTTCGTGTGCTCAATGCCATCATGATACTTTTAAAAATAATCTTGCCCTGCACTGGGGACTGAAATGCCTATGCCACTAAAAAAACAAACAAACAAAAGCAGTGAACTATATCTCTAGTTCCTACAACAGTTTCTCAAGGCATGTTTTTTCTCCTCATGCATGGAATCTGACCAGTGACAGCCTTTTTTTTTCTGAGGTTTCAGTAGCTTTCTTCTTTAGAATGTCTTTCTTCAGAGACTGTGTTTGGGGTTTTGGCTTTGATAATGAATTTTACATTGTATGTTAATTTTATCGTAGTATTATGGAATTTAAGGGTAATTTCATGAGGCTGATCTCTATAGCCTCAACTGTTGACAAATAATTCCTAATGTTGAGTTCGGTACATAATGATGGGAATGTGGATCTAATTCTTTTAGTCGACCTCAGTAAATGGTTTGAGACAATTAATTTCCAATTGTTTCCCTGTAGAGCAGATTTCCTTGTATATTAATGAGAGACAGGTGTTGGGCCCCTGGTGCCTGCATGCCTGGGAGGTGTGTTTCAGTTGTTTATCTACTCAGCCATAGGTACTGCGAAGTATTCAAGCTTGCCTTTAACAGTCTTTAACTGAGGCTTCTACATTTTTTTTAATGTTGTCTTGAAATTGTCATGTACCTATTAACATTTTCACATGGATCATGTAGAAAGAAGTTGTGGACACTTTAGTTGAAAAGAACATACATGGTTGAAAAGGTATTATTCGATTATATGTGACAATCAAAGAGTTATTTTATGTGAGAAGTATAACCAAAAAGCAACTTCTTGTTATTTAATTTTGAAATAGGTGTATTTTTTGTTAACAGATAAATAAGCATATATTCTTATTAAGACCCATTTTTCTTATTCACTGAACTACACTACGAGTGTTTTTGAGGAAATGGAAGAGCCTCCATAGACATTACAAAATTCAATGCTAGGATAATTATAGAGATCTACATATTCATTAAATCTACAGAAGAAGTGTGTCCAAAAAGACAGCCATTCGTTCAAATACAGAACACCACTAAATATATACATTTTAAAAGTTAAATTTCTTAGGCTATTTAAAATTAGTTTTCTGTAGCACTCCTCTTGTAGTGGAAGGATTTTAACAAAAGGACACCCCTGATCTGGTTCCTTTTCTACAGGAAAGAATGGGAAGAACTGTTTGTAAACAACAATTATTTGGCAACTATAAGACAGAAGGGGATTAATGGGCAGCTGAGAAGCAGCAGGTTCCGAAGCATTTGCTGGAAGGTAAGAAGAAAATATTTATTTACAGTTTGTGGTTGCAATATATCAACACATTATCTGATGCCCTGGAAGATTATTACCCTCACAGGGATCACTGAATTTTCCAGGATATTTCTCTCCAATTTTTTAGCCAGTCATGTTAATCTTTCATAGGACATTTGCTAATAAGATTGAGCCACCTGGGCAAGTGGAGCTAGTAAATGAATCCTTTGAAGTAACTCTCTTCATCTCTTTTCAGGGCAGCACTGTTACATCACCTGGAGGAGGCTTTTTCAGATTGTCTTGAAGTAGGGCGGGAGGGGTGGAGGGTTAAGCAGGGCATTCTTTTGATAAGACATGCTGTTTTTAGTCATCCTGCTCTTGTCTTCCTAAAAAGCACATAGAGAAGACTTCACATTTCTTTGTTAGAGATATAAAATGGCAACCAGGAGAGTAGAAGGAAATTGGGTCACTCTCCTTCAGAGAGAAAAGGTCATTGGTTACCAAAACTGGTAATGATGATCTGTAGTTATCATTTTAATTGCTTTGAAAAATTAACCCATTTTTGTTCTCTAAAATGAATGACTTTGGGTGTGGACTTATTTTTTAAATGACTTCTATATATTTTTAAGATTATGTACATAAATTGAGCTACAGATTCTGTGCAAATCAAAACAATATAAGAGATACATGATGTATTATACAGTTCTAGATTGAATAATTTAGATTTAATAATGAAAATACATTTTTCTTTTTTTTAGAGGCAGCCAAGAGACTTGCTGCTAGGAAATTTGTATTCAAATATTTGTGCCCCACTCTCATTGGGTGTTGTTTAACTTTAAGTATATTTCAGTTGCTAAAAATAAGTCTTAAGTCTAGACTCATTATTGTAGTAAACTAAATTTAATCAAATTTGTCATTTTAAGACTGCTTATTTTCATATGCTGATTGCCAGTTGTAAATTACATTCTCTGCTGTAAAAGGAATGGCTTCCCTTACTTGACTATGCCCTCAGCCCTCAGATTGCTCAGCTTTCCTGTGCTTTCTTAAAAGAAAACTCACAACTAGAGATTGCTCACTGTGTGTTGCACGCAATAACTTCCTAGCATTCCTTGGCAGATTCGACTTGAACCTCTGTTTTTCTCCTCTTTTAGAACAAATCTTGAAGAAAGGTTAAATCTATTTTGTGATTTAACTTTTTAACCTTTTTTGATTTTAACCTTTGATTATTTAGTTTTGAATTTCATAACCATATAATTAGTATATCCATGACCATAGTGTTGGAAATTGAAATGATTATATTGAATGGGACATGTCATGAATGGGCTGTTTCTTTCACTTTTCAAACAATCGTATTTTCCTTGTTCATACATAGTAGGGTTGTTTTTTTTTTTTAATGTTTTCTCTTTTTTCTCCTTATAGCTTTTTCTTTGTGTTCTTCCTCATGATAAAAGTCAATGGATCAGTAGAATTAAAGAACTAAGAGCATGGTATAGCAACATTAAAGAAATAGTAAGTAAATATAACTAATGTAATTATTTTTATATGCTTACTTTTAAGTTCACTAGGCTCTGACCTTTCTATATGTCTGTTTCTTTACCAGCATATCACGAATCCAAGGAAAGTTGTTGGCCAACAGGATTTGATGATCAACAATCCCCTTTCACAAGATGAAGGAGTAAATTTCCTTTTTACTATTTTTGCTTATTTTTAACTTATTATTTTATGTGTATGTGGTTTGCCTGCATGTATGTCTGTGCACTGTGTCTGTGCCTGGTGCCTGTGGAAACTAAAAAAAAGCACGAAAGATTGCCTGGAACTGGAGTTATGGATAGCCATTTTAAGGGTGCTTGCAACTAAACTAAATTCTGTGAAAAAAATAGCTGTGGTTCTTAACTGCTGAGTCATCTCATTGTCCATCTTCTATATTCTTATTTCAACCTTTTTTTGCATTCTGAAAAATATGCTTTAGTGGCTTACTTACATCATCTGTGTAAGGTAAAGGGTATCTTACATGAAAATTTCTATGCAAACAGTGTATTTTATGTTCAGTATTTTCATTTTTCTAACCACTTAAACTACCTAAATCCTCATGCATATGTACTTGTGTGTGTGTGCGCGCGCAAATATGATACAAGCACATATGCACACCTGTAGAGATCAGAGATGGACATTGTTTCCGACTTTATCATTCTTTGCCTTATTCCCTTGAGGCTGGGTCTCTCACTGACTCTGAAGCTTGCTTTCGGCTAGGCTAGCTGACTAGGATCTATCTGCATCTCCACAGTGCTGAAGTTTCAGCCACAGCAGGCCATGCTCAGCTTTGTTTGCAGATGCTGAGGATTCCAACTCATGTTCTCATGCTTGCATCTCACTGGTGGAGGTCTCTACTCAGCACCTATGGACCCATCTCTTGAAGGTTCTACCACCCCCCAATAGTGCTAGGTCACCAAGCCTAAACAGGGGCCTTTGAGAACTGTCAGCATCTACACTGAAGCGTTTTTTTCTTGAGTTATACACTGTACTATATATTACTTCTTGCTTTTTAAATGTAGGAATGCTCTATTTTTGAAAAGTGAATAGTTAAGCTGTTGTATTCTAAAATATATTTCATTGTTTTATAAACTTATATAGTTAGTTTTGACCTTGAGCATATTGACATTAACACGAGCTGTGTTTCAGTATGAAAACTGGCTACCTGTTTTCTTGAACTCTGTTTTCCTTGATGGAAAATTTGCCAAAATTTGGCTAATTTAATTAAAAACATTAATCCATTATAGCATAGGAAAAGAAGTGGATTTTGTATTTGTCCTTGGCTAACTTTCAGTCTGAATAATTAACTGCTAATTATAGGCTTATATACACAGTCTAAGGTTAATTTTTCATCTACAAAATTAAATTTTCTGTTTGACCACCTGAGTTCAGTCCCTGAGAAGTCTTGTGTTTATGTGTGTGTATATGTGTTAGGAATGGCCCTAATGGGGAAGAGCAAGGGCTCTCTTAAGATCTAACTCTACAGTGGAAGAGTGTCCAGAGGAGAACTTTGGCTTTAGGGATGTAGTGGAGAGGGAAGTTGCTGTGGACTGCCTTAGGAGTCTCCACTTAGCAGGACTGCCAAAGAAGAAAGAAGCAACTACCTGTGTGATTCTGAAGTTCACATTCCGGGGAGTTAGGGAGAGTCATTACCTAACAGAGACTATAACGTACTCAATTGCTGATGCTCTCCACCTCTGTACTTAGCTGAGAAAAGAATTTTCTTCTTACTTTATGGTTATATTAGCATTTTTCTGAAGCATAAACTTTATCATAGTACCATAAAATAATAAGTAATTTTGGATGGTTGTTTTTCTTCCTCTGTTTTATTGACCCACTACATGATCTTCACTAGAGTAAAACTCTGTGAAGATCAAACTGTCCTCAAACTCACAGAGATTTTCCTTCCTCTGCCTCCAGACTGAGGGAATTAAAGGAATTAAAATTAAGTAATTTGTAAACTTTAAGTTTCCATTTTGAAAATCTATGTAAATGTTTCTTAGATTTGAAAATAGAGTGGAAGTGCCCTTCATCCTGCAGAGGTTTAAGCTTAGGAGCTGCAGATAGTGAAGGACTGCAAAAACTGTATGCTTTTGAATTAGACTAGATTTTAATAAAAATTATTTCTGTCTCAGGTTTCCTATCTGAGAAATCTAAAATAACAGCTCAGAGAAAAATAAATGCAATCACTTAATTTATTAAATTGAAGTCATAAAAGTCAATCAGTGTGAGATTGTTTTAATTAGGTTATTCTCATTTTTTCCAGAGTCTTTGGAACAAGTTCTTTCAAGATAAAGAACTGCGATCCATGATTGAACAAGATGTCAAAAGAACGTATGTAGAGCAATGTTTTGTTCACTAACTCAAAATGCTGTTACTTCTCTGTAATTTTAACAAAATGTACGGTCCATTGAGGAGCCTGAATTGACTGTAGTAGTCTACTAGCTTTGATTCAAAATTATCTTTTAAAATAAATTTTAATTTTATAGATATTTTTCTTACAGATTTCAAACTATTCAAAATAAACTGCATATCCATCGGGAATGTTACCAGTTTCTAATATTTCATATGATTCTGAAAGGGTGGTATTGTGTGATAATTTATATTGGTAATACTTGGACAATTTATCTCTATGTGTTTTTCATTACCTTCCTGTAGCTACTCTGTAGCTGCCTTCCTTTCATTTGCTGTTCATATCCTTCCTGTTTCTCTGGATGCTATTGGGTGTATAAGTAACCTCTTCTATTAATCTACTTAGCACTTACATATTGAAAAGCCACTTCTTGTTGTGTAGTAAACGTCTTATCACTCTTACAAATCAGACCTCATCTTTCTGCATCATCTGCTCTGAAATATCTGGGATTTACCTCAGAGACTTAATGTGAGTTCTAGGTAATGGATGTTAAAACTATGGTCAAATTATTCTCAACATCTATCTCTGTGTTTCCTTCTGTAAATAGGGACAATACCTACCAACTAGGTAGGAAACTACCAACTAAAAACTTTGTTTGTTTTTCAAGACATGGCTTCTCTGTGTATTCCTGGCTGTCCTGAAACTCACTCTGTAGATCAGACTGGCCAAGAACTCACAGAGATCCCCCTGTCTTTGCCTCCCAAGTGCTGTGATAAAGGTGTGAGCTACTGAGCTACCACAGCCTGACACCTCCCAACATTTTTATGAATTAGTCACTTAAAGTTGATTATTCCTTGCCAAAAATTCTTGGGATTTGAGTGTGTCATATTTAGAACTGTCTTTGCTAGTTAATAATCTCTAATCCAAAAATTCTAAGTGTTCCTGAATTCCAAAGTTTTGTTAATATTGTTTCAATGCCCCCAAAATTTTGGATATTGGATTTTGAATTTGTGATGCTCAACTTGCATTGAAAGTAGTGATTTAGATGATCTTGCTTTTAAGCTTTTGTACAAGTGTTAGTAAAGTTAATCATTTTATCTGCAGTTACTGTGAAGCTAAAAGAGAGTGCATGAATAATACTAAACCTTCTGAAATTTCTCCATTGTGTTTCTTTGTAGTTCTGTCTGTAACAATGTCAGAGTCTTTAGTTTTTTGATATTCAAATCTTTCTTTTAAATCCTAAATCACAGAAGAATCAGATGACCTGGATTACTTCTGAATCATACAAGGCTGTTCAGCAGATGAAAACTACTGCTTAAAAATTACAGTAATTAAACAGAATCAAGGGTTGAGAGATGAGTTATACTGCAGCTAATGTGTGCAGTTGGAGCCATTTTTGTTGTGACTTCCAGTTAGTTTAGGAGTCACCCAATTTTATTTTATTTTATTTTTCCAAAAAGCTATCATTAGAGCTATCAGGGCGGTACTTGAACTCTTCAGTGCCAATTTTGAGAAACTGCAGCACCTTTTTATTGGCACATATGAGGCCAATAGAAAAAATAGTGATTTTTTTTTGAAAAACAAATGTATTTCCTCATTAACTAAGAATCTTAGTAATCAATGTCAGTAAAATAGGTTTCATAGTAATAAATGTTACGTGCCAAATAGTAGCAGGATTTGATTTTAAAAGTGTCAAAACTCTTGCATCTCATAAGAACATTTTTTTTTTTTTTCTTTGAGACAGGGTTTCTCCGTGTAGCTTTGACTGTCCTGGACTCACTTTTCCAAATAAGACTTTCCTCTAACTCACAGAGATCTGCCTGCCTTCTTCAGTGTTTGGGTTGCAGGCATGTGCCCACTGTGCCTGGCTTCATAAGAAGAATTTCAATTTATTTTTCTGTATATATTAAATGGAAATGTATAGGTCATGGCCCTGGTCTAAAATGACATATTCAGAAACCACAGGACATGAGAATGGTTCCAATAAATATTAAATAAATGAGGATTATCAATTGTTATAAGCAAATCAAATGAGAACGTATTCATCATTTTGCTTATTTAGCTTAACTATTTCTCCCTTGCTGTATAAGAAACTAGTAGATCTTGAAAGTTGTGTTCTTCTAACTATTCTGGTTTTGTATTTTCTAGGTTTTTTTTTTTTTCTAAAAATAAAAGATATGCAGAGCAATATGTATACAGTTAATTTTTCTCCTTTTTTTATTCCTACTAGTATATTTGAAGGCACATACAAGATTCAGGATAGGTATCTGCGAGAACCCATAGTTCACAGTGTAGATAGCAGTCAGTATGATCCATCTCTAACTCTCCTTGAGCCTCTATATTATATGTTATATAATATAAATAGAGTATGTTATATATTAAAACTATATAACAATACATATGTTTTACATATTATATAATATGCTGTAATTATATAATACACATATTATATAATATATATTAGAGGAAGTTGCCATGGATCTCTTCAAAATTTCAAACTTTTTGAATTCTAGTACTACAGAGGCTGAGACAGGGAAACCTCTGGGAAATCCAGGCCAGCCTGGTTTGTGTAGCAAGACTCTATCTCAAAGCAAAACAAAAACTAAAGAACAAGAAAAAAAGTTGCAGAAGACTTAGTCTTTAAGGTAAAGTAGCTAGTTTTACTTTAATGCTACCAAATTGCAAACTCACCAAAATATAAAAGCTTAAATATTATTACCACTTTGCATCTGGTGGGGGGAGAAGCTGGTGGTTTTGAAACAGGGTTACATTTAGCCCTAGTTGTCTTTGAGTTCACTTCCTAGTCTAAGGATTACCTTAGACTCATAACCTTCTTGCTTCTCCCTCCCAAGTGCTGGGATTAAAGGCATGAACCACCATCCCTAGCTCCAAGGGATCTGAAACCTATCACTTTCAGTTAAACCTATAAAACAACCAGTAATACAATGGAAGAAAAATAGTACACTTCAGAGATTTTGTGCTTTTTTAAGTTGTTACTTAAAAAATTTGTTTTTTTAAAACATGCATTGTGTCATTTGTTGCAGGACATTGTTGAATAAGAGAGGTTTGCAATCACAGGATGTATTTTTCATGTGATGGAAAACAAAAACAAAACAGTAAGCACTTATAAAACCAGGGCAGAATTATTAAAGGTGACAATTCCTCTGAAGAAGTGCAGAGAGTAGCTCAAGTTCTGTTTGCTTTAGGAGTAGTGCATCTCTGAGAGTATGACTTTTGTACCGAGATGTGAAAAAAAGTCTTCATTACCACCCCTTTAGAGACCTAACAGAAGAGTATTTCAGGCAGTGGGAACACTTGTGTAAAAATTCCCACTGTAAGAAGTTAGGCATGACTAGAATCAAGTAATTTGAAGAAGGGAATCTAAAAAGGGAACCACGAGGCAAGCCATGTTTAGAACATAGAATTCTGGATTTGGTTCCATTTGTAATGGGCAGCACTTGGAAGAAAATTCTGGCTTGTGTATAGAATAGAGTTCTTTTTAAAGTATTTATTTATGGATATGAGTACTCTATTTGCATGTATATATGCATGACAGAATAGGACATCAGATCTGAGTCACAATGTAGTTGCTGGGAATTAAAGTCAGGACCCTTGGAAGAGAAGCCAGTGCTTTTAACTTCTGAGCCATCTCTCCAGCCCTAGAATAACATTCTTTAGGAGTCTTGTTGGAGTCTTCAAAGTTAAAGGATATTAGCAACGTAAACTGAAGCTGTAGTATAAATTATGGTAGTAAATAGACTGATAATACACATTTTACATTTTTAAATACAAATTGTGTGTTACTCTCTGTGTTTTTCTTATTCATTTTTTATTACTGCTGTACTTGGAGTTTTTAACCTATCTATAGTCTGTTGTTGACGTGTTCTCATTGAGTTTATTTTACAACTTTTCTTCTCTTGACTGTTTGTGGCCACAGAAAAATGGATTTGCCTGGCTTCTGTAAGGAAGATCTAAATCCCTCTCACATTATTTTTTTCTGCCATTATTATAAGAACAGGTTGTGCCTACTTATCCCTCTGCTTGCTGTTGGATCCCTGACACTTAGCATTTAAGGCCTGATTTCATCAGCACCATGTCCATGACACATTTTATAGCTTTACATTTGTGTTCTTTAAGTGTCTTTTTTATATTTGTAGACTTTTCTTATAATTTTTAGATGATATTTAATTTTGGTCTTAAATGTATTTCATCCTCTCCTATGCTTCATGAAACTTTTATTGAGCTGCAAGTGTTTCAGGAATCATAGATGCCAAGATAAGTATAACATGTACCCAGTAAGTTCAAGGCAAATAGGGAAAGCAGGAAAAAACAAAACAAAACAAACAAACAAACAAACAAACAATGATATTGATTGGTGTCGTAGAAGGAGCAGTGTGTCCAAGACCTCTGGTGTTAGTCTGCGTACTCATTTCACCCCATTGATAGATGATGATAAAGCAATGAACTGGAACTGAATCCCAGTTTTTGTTGTTGTTTGCTTTGTGGTGCTTTGTTGTTTTGTGTTAGCTTTTTTTGTTTAGTTTTTTTGTCTCAACACACATTGCCAAATTGTTGCAGAATAAACATCCAATGACTATGATAAAGTTAACAGTCAGTATTCCTTAGCCTACATTGTATTTCTTAATATTATCTTCAATCTTACAAGACATTCACATATTAAAAAATAGTTGTAGAATCAACCTTCTAGTCTAATATTAAGACAGTTTGATTGTTAAGATTTATTTAATCTGTATATTCAATGTGTTAAATATTTTTCTCCTAAACTATTTTAATACCCAATTCAAACCACTACTCCATTTTTACTTCAAGAAGTTTGTTTTCACATTAGATTCATTTTTCTTGATCTTGACTTAATGAAGTTATAAATATCCCCATTTTTATTACAGAAACAAAACCTAGATACAAGGTAAATCAAGGAATGTCTAATTCCTAGAACTTATAATTTAGAGTTAAGATTGTT